CATGAACTTGACCGTGCTAGTCTGATGTGTAACACGTGAGCGCGCTGAAAAACGAAAGCTCAGATAATTTACAACATTCTGCTACAATCGTCTTCTCATTATAATGTTAAGCATATGATAGATTGGCGCTGCTCATCTCGCACTAACTGTATTTCATGATCACAGTGATTCCAGGCATCACTGCAGTGCGCGCTTTCAGATCCAGTTTCCCTTAATATCTCCGGTCTGAAGCCTTGCTGTCTAACGCTAACCGATCAGACCTCAGGAACCGCCCCCAAATGCTGCAATAACCAATCAGAGCTCAGGAACCGCCCCAAATGCTGCAATAACCAATCAGAGCTCAGGAACCGCCCCAAATGCTGCAATAACCAATCAGAGCTCAGGAACCGCCCCAAATGCTGCAATAACCAATCAGAGCTCAGGAACCGCCCCCAAATGCTGCAATAACCAATCAAAGCTCAGGAACCGCCCCAAATGCTGCAATAACCAATCAGAGCTCAGGAACCGCCCCAAATGCTGCAATAGCCAATCAAAGCTCAGGAACCGCCCCAAATGCTGCATTAACCAATCAGACCTCAGGAACCACTCCAAATGCTGCAATAACCAATCAGAGCTCTGCTGCAATAACCAATCAGAGCTCAGGAACCGCCCCCAAATGCTGCAATAACCAAACAGAGCTCAGGAACCGCCCCAAATGCTGCAATAACCAATCAGAGCTCAGGAACCGCCCCAAATGAGACCCAGTGAAGAGGATCAGAGAGTTCCAGAGGCGAGCAGAAGGGGTATGGAGGAGACCCAGTGAAGAGGAACGGAGAGTCCCTGAGGCGAGCAGAAGGGGTATGGAGGAGACCCAGTGTAGAGGAACGGAGAGTCCCTGAGGCGAGCAGAAGGGGTATGGAGGAAACCCAGTGAAGAGGAACGGAGAGTCCCTGAGGCGAGCAGAAGGGGTATGGAGGAGACCCAGTGTAGAGGAACGGAGAGTCCCTGAGGCGAGCAGAAGGGGTAAGGAGGAAACCCAGTGAAGAGGAACGGAGAGTCCCTGAGGCGAGCAGAAGGGGTATGGAGGAGACCCAGTGTAGAGGAACGGAGAGTCCCTGAGGCGAGCAGAAGGGGTATGGAGGAAACCCAGTGAAGAGGAACGGAGAGTCCCTGAGGCGAGCAGAAGGGGTATGGAGGAGACCCAGTGTAGAGGAACGGAGAGTCCCTGAGGCGAGCAGAAGGGGTATGGAGGAGACCCAGTGTAGAGGAACGGAGAGTCCCTGAGGCGAGCAGAAGGGGTATGGAGGAGACCCAGTGAAGAGGAACGGAGAGTCCCTGAGGCGAGCAGAAGGGGTATGGAGGAGACCCAGTGTAGAGGAACGGAGAGTCCCTGAGGCGAGCAGAAGGGGTATGGAGGAGACCCAGTGTAGAGGAACGGAGAGTCCCTGAGGCGAGCAGAAGGGGTATGGAGGAGACCCAGTGAAGAGGAACGGAGAGTCCCTGAGGCGAGCAGAAGGGGTATGGAGGAGACCCAGTGAAGAGGAACGGAGAGTCCCTGAGGCGAGCAGAAGGGGTATGGAGGAGACCCAGTGAAGAGGAACGGAGAGTCCCTGAGGCGAGCAGAAGGGGTATGGAGGAGACCCAGTGTAGAGGAACGGAGAGTCCCTGAGGCGAGCAGAAGGGGTATGGAGGAAACCCAGTGAAGAGGAACGGAGAGTCCCTGAGGCGAGCAGAAGGGGTATGGACAAACGGTCAGTCTGTGGAATCGACAAGAGCGCGCAAGTAGATTTTTTCTTAATATCCAGTTCTCCTGTTGTTTCAGCTTAGTTTCTATCAGAAGGTAGGGCTATTTTCGATTCTGTGTTTATTTTAATTTTTTACCTTCTCACAAATCTGTATTTTAATTAGACGCGTTGCTACTTTATAACAGTAAATTGAATAGTTTGCGCGTCTGTATAGTATTGCAGTCTAAATTGCATAGCACTTAAGTGAGTCACTGGCCAAGGGCTAGTTTCGATTTATCCCATTTTCGGATTATTTGAGGGTGCTGTGTTAATTGCTGGGCAGAGACAGCTGTCCTCACTCAGTACTTTGAGTGCATTATATCTATGTAGTGTGCGCGCTGTCGCGGAAGCGTCAGCGGAAGCGTTTCAGCCTCCTCGTGTGAAGACCGACTCGGGTAAAGACCATCGACTCTACCTGTGCGACTCCACCGAGCAAAGACATCAGCTAAGCACTCAAGTATCTACATCTCCCTTCCCTTCCCTACTCCTATCCTTATCCTATTTCCCTTAAACGTCATGTGCTTTCAATACATTCCTGTTGTCTCTCGACAACGCTCACTCATCACGTACAGAAGGCAGCGCAATCCTGCTAATCTGCGTCCTATTCTCTTATCCTCACACTCACCTCTCACTCTTTCTATGGGTCTATGGAACTGCCAATCAGCAGTCAATAAAGCTGACTTCATTCCAGCTTTTGCTTCTCATTCTACTCTTAATATTTTAGGCTTAACTGAGACCTGGATCCGTCCAGAAGACTCAGCAACCCCTGCTGCTCTCTCTAACAACTTCTCTTTCTCTCACACACCTCGCCAGTCCGGGAGGGGTGGGGGTACTGGTCTTCTCATTTCTAACAATTGGAAATACTCAACTCTCTCCTCTCTATGCAATAACAACTCATTTGAATATCATGCTATTACACTTACAATTCCCATTAAGATCCAGATTGTAGTCATTTATCGCCCCCCAGGTCAACTGGGAAGCTTTGTAGAGGAGCTAGATGTGCTGCTGTCCTCTTTCCCTGAGGATGGCACTCCACTCGTAGTCTTTGGTGATTTCAACATTCATCTAGAGAAGCCGTATGCTACAGACTTCATCTCTCTCCTAGCCTCTTTCGATCTCAGACGGCTCATCACCACAGGTACTCACAAGTCAGGCAACCAACTGGACCTGGTTTACACACGCAACTGCATCACAGACAACATTTTGGTGAAACCTCTTCACGTTTCAGATCATTTCCTCATTACTTTCAATCTACAACTCACTACCCAAACTCCACCAACTCCCCTACCAGTTACTTTCAGACGAAACCTCCGCTCACTTTCTCCCTCCAATCTTTCCTCTACTGTGTCATCCTCTCTTCCCTCACCCTCAAAATTCTCATCTCTGGATGTGAATACCGCAACGGATACTTTATGCTCCACTTTAACTTCTTCTTTAGACACTATCTGCCCTCTCTCCTCCAGGCCAGCACGCGCCACTCCCTCTAACCCGTGGTTATCTGAGGTTCTTCGTGAACACCGAACCAAACTCAGAGCAGCGGAGAGAAAATGGCGCAAATCGAATGATACATCTGACCTGAGTATGTATCAATCTCTGCTCTCTGCTTTTTCTGTTGATGTTCACGCTGCAAAATCTTCATACCTCCACAACAAGATCAACACCGCCCCTAACACACGAACACTTTTCAAGACATTCAACTCTCTCCTCTGTCCACCACCACCACCACCACCCACCTCCTCTTTAACTGCTGATGACTTTGCTAACTTCTTCACTAACAAAACAACAACTATCAGCAGTCAGTTCTCTAATCCACACACACAGGAACCTAGACCAACCACTCCCACAGCCAATAACCTTCTCTCCTCCTTCACTCCACTAACCGAGGAAGTAGTATCTAAACTTCTCCTCTCCAGTCATCCTACCACATGCCCTCTGGACCCCATCCCCTCACACCTTCTACAAGCCATCTCTCCCACACTTTTACCAGCACTAACACACATCATCAACTCATCCCTCCACACTGGCATTTTCCCTACAGCATTTAAGCAGGCTCGGGTAACTCCACTGCTTAAAAAAACAACATTAAACACATCACTCCTAGAGAATTACAGACCTATCTCTCTCCTACCATTCATTGCGAAAACACTTGAACGAGTTGCTTTCAACCAAGTATCATCTTTCCTGTCTCTGAACGACCAGCTGGATGTCAACCAATCTGGCTTCAAGAAAGGGCATTCAACCGAGACCGCATTACTATCAGTCACAGAAGCCCTGCGGATCGCTAAAGCTGCTTCCAAGTCATCAGTTCTCATCCTCCTGGACCTCTCTGCTGCCTTCGACACTGTGAATCATCAGATCCTTCTGTCCACCCTCTCATCACTGGGCATCACTGGAACTGCCCTCCACTGGTTTGAGTCCTATCTCACAGGTAGGTCCTTCAGGGTCGCATGGAGAGGCGAGGTATCCAAAGCACATCAACTGACCACAGGGGTTCCCCAGGGTTCAGTGCTTGGACTGCTCCTCTTCTCCATTTACACCACATCACTGGGACCCATCATACAGGCACATGGTTTCTCTTACCATTGCTATGCTGATGACACCCAGCTCTACCTCTCATTTCAACCAGATGATCCCACAGTAGCTGCTCGAATCTCAAGCTGTCTGGCGGACATCTCGGCATGGATGAAGGAACATCACCTGCAGCTCAACCTGACAAAAACTGAGCTTCTCATCCTCCCTGCTAATCTGTCTCCACAGCACGACTTCACTATCCAGCTAGATTCTTCCTCAATCACCCCATCAAAGTCGGTCAGAAATCTTGGTGTAATCTTTGATGACCAGCTGACCTTCACAGACCACATTACAAAGACAGCTCGATCATGCAGGTTTGCACTGCACAACATCAGGAAGATCAGGCCTTTCCTAACTGAGCATGCAACACAACTTCTTGTCCAGGCCCTGGTTATCTCTAGGCTTGATTACTGCAATGCTCTTCTGGCTGGACTTCCATCATGTGCAACTAAACCTCTACAAATGATCCAGAACGCTGCTGCTCGTCTGGTCTTCAACGAGCCCAAAAGGGCCCACGTCACTCCTCTGTTCATCTCCCTGCACTGGCTACCACTCGCTGCTCGCATCAAGTTCAAGGCATTGACACTTGCTTACAGATTGACCACAGGCTCAGCTCCTTCCTACTTTCACTCGCTCCTACGAGTCTACATCCCTACCAGAAGCCTACGATCAATCAATGAGCGACGGCTCGTGGTACCTTCACAAAGAGCCACAAAATCACTCTCCAGAACATTCTCATTCACGGTTCCATGCTGGTGGAATGATCTCCCCACCCTCGTCCGTAATGCAGAATCCCTGACAGCATTTAAAAGACAACTGAAAACTCATCTCTTCCGTGAGCACTTAACTTAAAGTGAACTTAAACTTAAAAAAAAAAAAAAAAAAAAACTTTAAATCCTCACTTGTCTGGTTTGCTCACCTCACTCTGAGCAAACATTGCTCACCTCACTCTGAGCAATGTTTGAACTTTGTATTTTGAGCACTTCTTGGGTTGCTATTGTCTCTTCACGATGACTCGTTTGGTTAGTCCTCAGATGTAAGTCGCTTTGGATAAAAGCGTCTGCTAAATGACTAAATGTAAATGTAAATGTATGGAGGAAACCCAGTGAAGAGGAACGGAGAGTCCCTGAGGCGAGCAGAAGGGGTATGGAGGAAACCCAGTGTAGAGGAACGGAGAGTTCCAGAGGCGAGCAGAAGGTGTATGGAGGAGACCCAGTGAAGAGGAACGGAGAGTCCCTGAGGCGAGCAGAAGGGGTATGGAGGAGACCCAGTGAAGAGGAACGGAGAGTTCCAGAGGCGAGCAGAAGGGGTATGGAGGAAACCCAGTGTAGAGGAACGGAGAGTTCCAGAGGCGAGCAGAAGGGGTATGGAGGAGACCCAGTGAAGAGGAACGGAGAGTTCCAGAGGCGAGCAGAAGGGGTATGGAGGAGACCCAGTGAAGAGGAACGGAGAGTTCCAGAGGCGAGCAGAAGGGGTATGGAGGAGACCCAGTGAAGAGGAACGGAGAGTCCCTGAGGCGAGCAGAAGGGGTATGGAGGAAACCCAGTGTAGAGGAACGGAGAGTTCCAGAGGCGAGCAGAAGGGGTATGGAGGAGACCCAGTGAAGAGGAACGGAGAGTTCCAGAGGCGAGCAGAAGGGGTATGGAGGAAACCCAGTGTAGAGGAACGGAGAGTTCCAGAGGCGAGCAGAAGGGGTATGGAGGAGACCCAGTGAAGAGGAACGGAGAGTTCCAGAGGCGAGCAGAAGGGGTATGGATGAGACCCAGTGAAGAGGAACGGAGAGTTCCAGAGGCGAGCAGAAGGGGTAAGGAGGAGACCCAGTGAAGAGGAACGGAGAGTTCCAGAGGCGAGCAGAAGGGGTATGGAGGAGACCCAGTGAGGAGGAACGGAGAGTTCCAGAGGCAAGCAGAAGGGGTATGGAGGAGACCCAGTGAGGAGGAACGGAGAGTTCCAGAGGCGAGCAGAAGGGGTATGGAGGAGACCCAGTGAAGAGGAACGGAGAGTTCCAGAGGCGAGCAGAAGGGGTATGGAGGAGACCCAGTGAAGAGGAACGGAGACTTCCAGAGGCGAGCAGAAGGGGTATGGAGGAGACCCAGTGAGGAGGAACGGGGAGTTCCAGAGGCAAGCAGAAGGGGTATGGAGGAGACCCAGTGAGGAGGAACGGAGACTTCCAGAGGCGAGCAGAAGGGGTATGGAGGAGACCCAGTGAAGAGGAACGGAGAGTTCCAGAGGCGAGCAGAAGGGGTATGGAGGAGACCCAGTGAAGAGGAACGGAGACTTCCAGAGGCGAGCAGAAGGGGTATGGAGGAGACCCAGTGAGGAGGAACGGGGAGTTCCATTGGCGAGCAGAAGGGGTATGGAGGAGACCCAGTGAGGAGGAACGGAGTTCCATTTGCGAGCAGAAGGGGTATGGAGGAGACCCAGTGAGGAGGAACGGAGAGTTCCAATGGCGAGCAGAAGGGGTATGGAGGAGACCCAGTGAGGTGGAACGGAGAGTTCCAGAGGCGAGCAGAAGGGGTATGGAGGAGACCCAGTGAGGAGGAACGGAGAGTTCCAGAGGCGAGCAGAAGGGGTATGGAGGAGACCCAGTGAGGAGGAACGGAGAGTTCCAGAGGCGAGCAGAAGGGGTATGGAGGAGACCCAGTGAGGAGGAACGGAGAGTTCCAGAGGCGAGCAGAAGGGGTATGGAGGAGACCCAGTGAAGAGGAACGGAGACTTCCAGAGGCGAGCAGAAGGGGTATGGAGGAGACCCAGTGAGGAGGAACGGGGAGTTCCATTGGCGAGCAGAAGGGGTATGGAGGAGACCCAGTGAGGAGGAACGGAGAGTTCCATTTGCGAGCAGAAGGGGTATGGAGGAGACCCAGTGAGGAGGAACGGAGAGTTCCATTGGCGAGCAGAAGGGGTATGGAGGAGACCCAGTGAGGTGGAACGGAGAGTTCCAGAGGCGAGCAGAAGCCCGGCTAAAGACCCTACGGCCCATGGTGGCTAGGCGAGCAGAAGGGGTATGGAGGTGACCCAGTGAAGAGGAACGGAGACTTCCAGAAGGGGTGTAGGGCTGTGGGAGATCTGAAAGCTGGAGCGAGGTTATGAAGAGATGTGTAAGTGAGGAGAAGAATTTTAAATTCAATCCGGGATTTGATAGGAAGCCAATGTAGCTGTTGGAGTGATGGGGTAATATGTGGGATAGATGGAGTCCGGGTTATGATACGAGCTGCAGAATTCTGAATCAGCTGGAGTTTGAGGAGACCTTTGTGGTAAACCAGATAAAAGAGAATTACAGTAATCAATGCGAGAGGTGGCAAGCGAAACAACAATTATAGCGGAACTACGCAGAGTGAGAAATGGACGGAGACGAGCAATATTGCGAAGATGAAAAGAACAAGACCTGGTTATGTTATTAATGCGAGCTTCAAATGAAAGGGCACTGTCGAAGATGACCCCCAAGTTCCTAACCTGGCGGGAAGGAGAAACGGAAGAACCCTCAATGGATAAAGAAAAACTGCAGGACCTAGAGAGAGTAGAGTTAGTGCCAATAAGGAGTACTTCAGTCTTACTGCCATTACGTTTGAGGAAGGTGGTAGAAACCAGACATTTATTTGGTGAAAGCAGTTGGTAAGACAGGCCGGGGAGAGAGTGGAACCAGGGTTTGTAATCCATAAAGCTGTGCATCATCAGCGTAACAGTGGAATTTAATACTGAATTTGGAAAAGATATAGCCGAGTGGGAGAATGTAGATTAGGAACAATAGGGAACCTAGGACAGAACCTTGGGGGACACCACAGCCAACAGAAGACATTTCTTTAGTTGTACAAACTGTACGGTTGGAAAGGTATGAAGTGAACCAGGCATTAGTATACCAGTGATACCAATATTGGATAAACGGTTCAAGAGAATATGGTGTGAAATTATGTCGAAAGCTGCACTCAAATCAAGTAAAGCAAGAATATATAAGGACCCCTCCATCAGCAGCCATTAGCAGATTTTTTGTTACTCTCCCTAGGGCGGTTTCTGTGCTATGCTCAGAACGAAAGCCTGACCGGAAACACTCATACAAGTTATTATTGCTAAGGTGAGCATGAACCTGCGCTGACACTGATTTTTCAAGAAGTTTTTTAATAAATGGAAGATTTGAGATGGGACGAAAATTATCTAGTTTGTTAGGGTCAGCACCTTCTTAAGTAAGAAACGTACGAGTACTCGAGTACCCGTGCCCATCCCTATTATTTACGTGTGCGCTGGTATAATGAGAGGATTCACACAGAACTGAACTCTGCTGGTTTCAGGCGTTCTGCAGTGACTGGGTTACACTGCTCTGATTGGCTGTTGAGCAGGGCGTGGGAAGATGTTTTAGGTTGGGAGTGCTGCTTTCTTTTGGGGGGGGGGGGGGGGGGGGGGGGGGGCACCACTTTTGAATAAGAAACAATATCAAGTTTATAAAACTCGTCAAAACTCCGTGAATCACAACAAGTGTATCGGTGGGAACACTCGTGTAAACAGCACACACACTCGATCTCGATCACACTGGCTAACGTTCCCTTACACACACTGCCTTACGCTACCTTACACACACTGGCTAACGCTACCCTACACACACTGGATAACGCTACCTTATACACACTGGCTAACGTTCCCTTACACACACTGCCTTACGCTACCTTACACACACTGGCTAACGCTACCTTACACACACTGGATAACGCTACCCTGCACACACTGGCTAACGCTACCCTACACAGACTGGCTAACGCTACCTTACACACACTGGCTAACGCTACCCTACACACACTGGCTAACGCTACCTTACACACACTGGCTAACGCTACCCTACACACACTGGCTAACGCTACCTTACACACACTGTCTAACGCTACCTTACACACACTGGCTAACGCTACCCTACACACACTGGCTAACGCTACCTTACATACACTGGCTAACGCTACCTTACACACACTGGCTAACGCTACCTTACACACACTGGCTAACGCTACTCTACACACACTGGCTAACGCTACCTTACACACACTGGCTAACGCTACCTTACATACACTGGCTAACGCTACCTTACACACACTGGCTAACGCTACCTTACACACACTGGCTAACGCTACCCTACACACACTGGCTAACGCTACCTTACATACACTGGCTAACGATACCTTACACATACACACACTGGCTAACGCTACGCTAATTTGCGTTACATTTACAATCCTGTGAAAACACTTCCCGTGCCCCTGCTGTTGCGTTCATGCCTGAATCTGTTCAAATACTATTCACTGTGGAGCAGTGTGGAGAGGACGCTGGCGCAACTGGCTGCCGCTTCTCCATCAGCGCGCTAAATTGTTTGTTGTTTGTTGACTGGTTTTATATCGGCTGACGTTACCTGCTGCTAACATGCGGCTTTGCTGGATTTTATTTGTTTTTATTCTGGCATTATTTGGAGTTTACGGCAAGATTCATTTTAACTTCCCGGACTGCACTATGCTGAAATACTCTGCCATGGAACTTTTACAGCTTGGTCATTCGGCGCCCCCTGCCACTGGTGTTAGGGAAAAACTGCGATCGCTACAACTTCTCCGCCGGCCAAAGTACGTTCATCGCGGCTCCCGCCGGAATCTGCATTCAAGCGGAGCCGGTATAGACACAGTCTGGTCAACAAGGAGTTTGTATCGCCGCCATTTATCTTTGCGTCATGTCTGCCCTGCTAACTTTTCCTACTTTCAGAAGTCTACCCCATCCAGCTATGTCCGCCTTGACACAATCAGGTTTGCACATCTGAACACTCGCTCTATGAACAACAAAGCGGCTTTACTTTGTGACATTGTTTTGGACAAAAAACTGGACTTTTTCTGCCTTTGTGAAACGTGGCATCAGCCAAATGACTATTTCAATCTAAATATGTGTGCTCTGCCTGGCTACACTTATCTTGATCGGCCGCGCTCTACCGGTAGAGGTGGCGGTCTTGCTGTCATTTACAGATCTGATGTTGCAGTAACTGAGGTTTCATTGC